TACTATTATTTTCCTTTACAATGTATCCCAAATCATCATATGCATCTGTTCTTTATTCTTTTTTAGTGACTACTTACTAGTATAAGTACGCCCTTAATTATTTTCTATTCACAGACTATTAGAATATTTCCTCTTTTTTTCACAATTATCAACCTTACTGCAATATTTTTTTTGTCTGTGTATCTCTATGAACATAAACCATAGCCTAAAATTTAGTCAAAATTCCAAAGATTCTAGATATAAAAAAAGAGTAGCAGCAAGGTAACACACAGTTATAAAATCCAATTTAAGTTGCTGCCACCGACATTTTTAAGGAATAGCCAGTATGGTGCACATACCCAAAACCCCAGCTACTCAAAAGACCAAAGCAGCAGGATTATAAATTGGAGAGCAGCTGGGGCAACTTAGAGATACCCTATCTCAAAATAAAATTTGTAAAGGGTCTGGGATATGGCTCAGTGGGAAAGCACTTGGCTAGCACATACAAGGAACCAGGTTCAATCCCTAGTACTACAAAAAAAGTTCAAAACACAACACAAGGACCTCATGGACTTTGATTCAGTGATTATATTTTAAGGAAAACATTCAAAGAAGGCAAAGACTATAATTTAGGAATTCTATTAAGTATGGGGAAAATTATTTGACTCACTGCAGTCTACATGACTTGTAATTCTTTACAACTAATGTATCACCTATTCAGCCATCAGCGATCTGAGCCTGAACATGGATGATCACTACAAAGGTCTTGGAAGGATAGACAGAGCTTATGAAGGCAAAGGTAGTGTCTTCATTTGCCTTTATTTTTATTTTTTTTTTTGCGGTACTGGGGATTGAACTCATGACTCTGCACTTGCCAGACAAGCGCTTATTCTACTGAGCTATCTCCCCGGCCCTCCACTTGCCTTTAAACTAGGTTAGTGGATATGTATAAGTGATGTACATATAGATAGCATGGAGGCTTTTATAGGTAAATGGATGCATCTACAGACCATACTCGTAAGTGAAATAAATCAGACCTGCATATACAAATGTTGTATTGTCTCACAAGTATTAAGAACCTCAAAGAGTAAATAAAATCTGAAAGGTACAATACATATTGTGAAAGGGAAATAAACTGTTCAAAGAAAAAGAATAGGATGAGGGAAAGGAGAAAAGAAAAAAAGAAGGGAAAAATAAATATATATGTATTTACAAAGGATAGCTTGGATAATTGTACTGCTGATTTGCTGGTCTATAGAAATCTTTTTAATTTCTTTACAAAAAATTTTTTGTTTTCTTTTCTGGTGCAGGGTCTCACTATGCAGTTCAGACTCATAGTGATCCTCCTGTTTTCAGCCTCCCCAGCAGCTGAGATTATAGGTGTGTGCCACCATGCCCAGACTCCATCACTGCCTCAGCGAGCCGCTGGGGAAGGGGCTGGTGTGACATATGGTACCAGGGATTTAACCCCAGTCCCTATGCTTGTCAAAGCAGGTGCTTAGTCCACTGAGCTATCTCACTAGCTCTCCTTTTTAATTTCTTTTTCTTTCCTCTTTTTTTTTCTGGAACCGGGGATTGAACTCAGGCCCTCGTGCTTGCCAAGGAAGCGCCTATTCCACTGAGCCATTTCCCCAGCCCTACTTTCCTCTTTTTTATACCAATTTTTCATGCTTCTATCTGGTACTCTGAACAACTAATTTGAAGGCAACATTATGCAACGCAGCAACCATTGCTGAATTATTATTGTTTGGTGAAGTTCTGTGTCATTCCTTTTTTTTTTTTTTTAATCATTTGTACTACTTTTTATTTACTATTTTTTCTTTA